GATTTCTCTACCTGTTTTTTTTTTTTTTTTTTAATATTTGTTTCCCCTATTTGCAACTGTTTCATGTTATTTTTCAGCTTTTCTTTAACGAACACAAGAATAAAAAAGAAGTTGCATTTATGGCGTTGATATTTTTTATAGGAAATCAACGATGACACGCCTGTCAAACTTTCCCTTAACATTGCGGAGATTTCTTCATTTTTTGATTTTATAAGGCATGGATACAGTAATGCTTTTGCTATCTTTGAAGAATGCTTCCAGTTTTTCTCAATCTTATCTGAAATATTGGAGGTAATTCATTCACAAGCCTATGTCTCTCCATTACTTGAATATATTTGTTTTCTGTGAAAATATTTCTTTGTAAGCGGGGCTTTCTTTTTCTTTTTCCCTCGTTTATAATATTTTAATTGTTTTTTTTTTAATTTTACAAGTTATAATAAATCTGGAACAGTGGCAGTATTATCAATGAAAAATGTCTACTTATGTGAATTTTTTTTCCCTGAAATGTGACTCGGGTAAATTTTAAGTACTTACTGTGAAAATATTTTGCAAGAATTGATTTAATGAGAGTGAAATTATTAACATTTCAGTACTCCTTAAGTTCAAACTCAACTCTTTGTTGTTTTAAAATGGTTGTAATGATAAGAGTTAGAATTATGATGTATGGGTCATAATATTCAATGTACTATAACAGAATAGTGGTAGCTTGTATCCTCGGTTAGCTCCCTTCTCTGAACTCGGCTCATTTTAATTCTCAAGTTCTAATCCGTTGTTTTAGTTCAACTCGTTATAATTCTCAAGCTTATGGAGCTTTCAACGAGGTGGCATCCAGAAAAAATTGTGATGTCCATAGTGAAATAGTTGGCGAGGATACCAAGGTTTTCAGACTTAGTTTCAGTTTCTATTTTAGTCCTGGTTTGGAAGTTTCATTTTGGAGCATTTTAAATTCACTATCACCTTTTGTATTGGTGTTTTGATTACTGTTATTTAAAAATAAAAAAGATTCATTTTTTATAATTTTTTATTGTTTCCAATAGAGAAAATTTTGATATGGAACCATGATTGTTGACCTATGCTATTATGCTTTCAACTCGAATTAATGAAAAGGAGTTCTTGCTTTTATATTAATCATTGTTTTTCCTATTGTGGTAACCACCATGTTTTAATGTGTGCGCTTGTTTGTGTGTGTGTATAGAGAGAGAGAGAGAGAGAGAGAGAGAGAGAGAGAGAGAGAGATGCAATAATGTTCAACTATAAAAGAGCTACTAATTTATAAAATATATGTAAACCTCTTTTAATAAAGTACTTAAAGTCATCCAACTTGGTAATTAAAGTGATTAAACATGTAAACCAAACAATCTACCATCTACTTTCAACAGTTTATCTTTTCCCGCAAATAAATTTACTCATACTAATCATATGAGTCTAGCATAGTTTTTTTTGGAAATAAAAGTTCAAGAACATGTTATGAAACTGCTTAACGTGAATGCTCGGATGATTATGGTTATCAATCTATAAAGTATTACGGTTTTTTTTATAAAAATATTTATTGATTCTTGGTGTATGCTTCTTGCTGATGATATCCTTCTCGTGGATAAGACGAGAAAAAGCCTGGGAAAAACTTTAATTATGGCGGTCTACATTGGAGTCTAAATGCCTTCATTTGATTAGAACTAAAACTGAATACATGGAATGTAATTTTAGGAGTAGTAGCTCTAGTGACAGAAGTGTAACTTTGGGTGATCAAATTATTAAAAGGTGTGAACAATTTAGATGTCTCGGGTCTGTTGTTCAAAGTGATGGTGATATAGATGGGGATGTTAATAGTAGAATTCAAGTGAAGTTTTAGACTACAAGGAAAATTTTATAAGAGCGTAGTAAGATCTGCAATGCTCTATGGCGTTGAATGTTGGCCTTTAAAAGAGAAGCATAATACTAAGTTAAGTGTTGCCGATATGAGAATGATTATGTGGATGAGTGGCTTTACACAAAATGCGAAATGAATATATCCGGGATAGGGTTGGGGTAGCTCCAGTGACGAACAAAATTAGAGAGTCCTCTTAGATGGTTTGGTCATATTAAACATCGACCATCTAATGATCCGATTAGGAGAGTAGATATTTTAGATTCAACCTACGTTAAGAAAGGCAGAGGTAGACCTAGGAAGACTTGGGCTTATTGTATAAAAAAAATGATCTTAATTTACTAGAACTAAATGAAAATATGACACTAAATAGGACGCAATGGAGAAAAAGGATTTGATTCATGTAGGTGACCCCACATTGTGGGATTAAGGCTTTGTTGTTGTTGTTGTGGGTATCCATTGTGTTGGATTTATGATACCATTTCAAATCAAACAACCATTAGAATATTTGATAAGTCTCTTTTCTATGTGTTGTGTAGTAGATTCATCTAAATAAATGCCATCATAGATTAATGTAGCCGACCCCACGTAGTGGGATTAAGGCTTTGTTGTTGTTGTTGTTGTTGTTGTTGTTGTATCTTAGTCAATTATATTTTATTGTTTTTCCTTTAATAAGCCAACTCAAGAGTACCGTTAAATTTTTTTTTACCAATAAAGATATAAGCAATTTCATTTCCTTTAACGTGCACAAATATAATTGAGTGCCCAACTGATAATACAAGTGAGGTGACTCTTATTAGACTTTGCATAAATTTTTTTGCTTACAAATATTTATTTTCTTTTAGTTGTTAATCATTTAATATAATGCAAAACTTGACTAAACTGAATTCATAAAATAGTTATTTCATTTTAACACATCTCCTTCTGATTATGCTTTTAATGTGTATCAGGAAATGACACATTTTTTAATACAATAATTACATTTACTGCAAATAAGATAGTAATTGCTTGCATTGATTTTAGCTTATAAAATGATGACTTAAAATGCTTTAGCTGTGTTGTATGAAATGGTATTCTTGAAAATTATTTTTGAAATAATACTTAAATTTCAATTGAATATAAGCTTTATCTTTGGATAAGAAAATCATAAACTGGCTCTGATACCAAATGATGCCGAAATTTAATTCAAACCACAAACAGGGGTGCTGGACTGACTCCCCATGGCTGAACCGGTCGGTTTAGTCCATATGCCCCGCTCAAATAAGGGGGCTCCTGATAGGCTTAACCTAAATTTTTTTGTTTACAATTATTTACTTTCTTTTATTCAGTAAATTCATTTATTTTTCATTTAATATGGTGCAAAAGATGAAAAGATGAAAAGTTGAAATCTTAAAATAATTGTTTCATTTTCACATTTCTTCTTCTAATTATGCTTTTAATGTGTATAAACAAATGAAAAATTTTGAAATCTAAAAATTAAATTTAATGCAAATAAAATAGTAATTACTCCCATTGATTTTATCTTATAAAATAATACTTCAAAGTGCTATTTGAAATTGGCTTCTTGAAATTTATTTATAAAATATTACTTTAACTTTAATTGAATGAAAGCATTATCTTAGTTTTGATCGAAAAATCATAACCTGATTGATGTGTTTAACTACTTGATTGTCAGTCCAAATACCCTTTACAACTTATGTTTTCCAATTTTCAGTCCAAATATCCATCCGCTAGCTGGTCGGTCGGTTCAGGCTCTTTGTTAAAATGCCTCCCCATGGTTAAATTGGTCGACTCAACTCATATGCCTTGTGTAAAAAAAAGGGGTCTCTCGATAGATTTAGCATAAATTTTTTTGTTTACAATTATTTATTTTTTTGTTCATTTATTTTTCATTTAATATAATGCAAAAGATGAAAAAATTGAAATCATAAAATTATTTTTTCTTTTTCACATATCTTCTTCTAATTATGCTTTGAATGTTTATCAACAAATGAAACATTTTAAAATACACGAATTAAATTTAATGGAAGTAAAATAGTAATTAATCACATTGATTTTATCTTATAAAATGATTGATTCAAACCCTTTAGCTTCGCGTACTAATGACTTCGGGGGCAGGAGAGGAGGAAGCAGGAGTAGTCTTTTACGAAGCAGGAGTTGAGCCCTAACCTAGCGAATGAAGGAGGAGGAAGGCTTATGGGACTGACTTGTGCATCTCGGAGCAAGGGACAGAACACGAATTCAGCTATTCCATGTCCTTCCTCTCTTCTCGCTTTCTTCTCTTTGTTCTGGTTCGTATGCGATTCGTAAGTAAAGGTCGAAGGAGCTGGTGATGGCCCTAGCAGAAGCTAATGTCAAAGCTTTGGATACTTATATGTTACACATTTTTTCTTTTTGTAACCCATGCAGATGCAATTATAAGTAAGCTTGAAGTTAGTGAGTTCAGGTAGAAGGATGAGCCTCCCTTCTTGATAACTGCAGACCAAGTATACAAATTCTTTCATCATTGTTTTCCTTTACGCTAGCTTGTTTCTGATTTATTTTTTTGTAATTATAAAAATTCTTGTATTTGTCACATTTATCTTTTTGTAGTTGAATCACATTCTTTTATCGTTGTTATTTTGAAAGCTTAACTTAAGAAATGATACAATTTAGCGAAAATTACATATATACCACACCATTTCTTTGTATTTACATTTCTAAAACTTTGAAATTTTTATTTATAACACTTTGGTGTTAGACATTGTGCATGAAAATGTGTATTTTACTTTTAAAAACTTAATAATAGAAATATTTTTGATGTGATATTAAAGATTATAGTTTTATGTTAATTGTAAATACAACTTTCAGGACACTCATTGTAAATACAGCTTCATGAAAATGCGTATTTTTTACGAACTCATTGACCATCAAGTTAAATGTTATGTGGACGATTTAGTCGTTAACAACAAACAGAAGGAAAACCATGTGTATCATTTGAGAATTGACGATTATGACAATTCAATCTTAAAAAAATTCCCTTAAAGTGCGCCTTTGGTGTCACTTCTTAGGATTTCTTGTTCGACATCGTGGGATCGAAGTTGACCCTCTCAAAATTGAAGCAATCATAAGCATGCCTACTCCGAAAAATCTTACCCAATTAAGGTCCTTCCAAGGAAAATTATCGTATGTAAGACGTTTTAGTTCCAATCTTTCAGGTGGGCGTCAACCTCTTACCGCCTTAATTAAAAAATATACCAAATTTGTGTGGGATGAAAAATGCCAGCACGCCTTCGAAAACATTAAACAATATTTAACAACACCCCTGTTTCAGCAGTCCCCGTGTTAGGAAGACCTCTAATCCTCTACACTGTGGTATTAAAAAATTCCCTCATAACATTGTTAGCCCAAGTCAATGACGAGGGAAAAGAAAATGCATTATATTATG